TTTTGCACGATCAAGGTTGTGCATTGGGGCCATATTTTTGGCTTAACTGTAAGGGTTGAGAACAATCATTTGGTTAAGTGCACATGAAGGAGCAGAGTGGCCAAAAGTCCAACCGCTTGCATTACCGTGAGAAGGGTTTACGAGTCCCATCTGGACAGGCATTCCTGTAGGTGCTTGTCCAACATTTACCGTCTACAGGAGCCGTGGCAGTAACTGCAAGTGTGCACAATTTGTTGGGTAAATTACCACATGGCATTGGTACAATGATAATAATTATTCCCTCATTACTTCCATATAGAGCTTTCATCAGGCTAGAAGTTCGAAAGAAGTGTAGATTTAACTTGTCGAATCACAATGCAGTTACAAGCCTCAGTGGGAGTTATGGCCTTCAAAAACATTACTGCACAAACGGTGGACACGTTCACAGAATGCCACCACACTTGGGTCATATTCGAAATTTAATGGTGACCTAAAAAATATTCAACATGAAATTATTATTCGATCACTGGGACGTCTTCATGGCCAAAAAAGGCTGGTCACCATGAAACAAAGAATATATGCGAGCAGGATGTAGTGATCTTGAAGGTAGATGTCAAGTCAACTCAATTTCTTCATGTTACTAAATCGCTCAAGTGAAGCTGCGACATCATGCGCTTGGGAAACAATGAGGAATGATGTCACCTGAGCCAAGTTGCACAAACATTCTTAGAAGAGAGGGCAAAATGCAGACGAATAGGCATCATGCACATTTTAGCGTGTCAGCAGTAACCGAGTCAGGTAAAACGGGTGTCATAAAGTGCAGTTTGCTCTGCAACAAGTATATCCAATTAGCGCAATATGCTTAATGCACACAATGCAATTGAACCCAATTCGCCTTTCAAAGGTCTTCACGTGCTCCTGCATGCAATCTTCAAGGGCAAAAGTGACAATTCGCATTCAATGAACCAATATAGGCGCACATGACACACATCCAGTCCCTCATCTGGACTGTGCGCACGCTCACGAAATAAGAACAAGTGAGGAGGTGTTGAGAGCAATCACGTGGTGTTATGAAGTCCCCCTTCGTATTCGTCTGGCTTTATCCACACACGCTCACAGATTCCGTGCTTTTTCCACACGAAAGCGATATTCCCTAGTTCGTACAAACAAATGGAAAAATGCGATAGACTATCCCACTTAGTCGGCAAGTTTAAGTGAAACGAAAAGTGATCAAAACTGGCAATCAATGAGCGGAAGCAGATAAATAAAAGTATTTTGCAGGTGCTCCAGGGTCTTGGAATCAGACGCTATGGCAACAATACGACTAACGGTAGAACAATGCAATCACAACCTCTGAATAAAAGGCTAATGAAACCTTTTAATGCCAAGTATCAATGAGCTTCGGTAGATAATGGCAATCCGTTCAAACACTGCAGTGCAACAAAAGAAGAAGGAACCAATTCGTGATGTGTTTCTTTTAAGTGTTAAGTAAGTAAACTGAGATCCAAACGTATCATCTTCGTGACTGAAAATGTACTGCTTCCCAAGTTGTCCCAGTCCCTTATTTGAAACGTTGTACTTATTTTGTCAGCTAGATCGTGACAAAACCAATAGTGTTCGGGCATGGCTTTTATCAGAAGTCATGCAAAAGGTGGATTTACTAATTGCTTTTAACGAAGACAATTGTAGGCCCAACCTGATGAGAACCTCAACTGCTGTTTGATGTGAGTGCTGATGAAATAGCCGCATTGTTTGGAAAGGGAATGACATAAAAAATACAAAATTTTTGTTCTTCGCTTATCTCGCTAGCGTTATGGCAACGCGTGTGGCATTAGACGTTGCTAAGTGTTTGACGGACAAACTGGTAATGCGAAACCAGTTTTTCTTTGTTTTCATTTCAACCTTAAGGAGAAACCTTTTTGGTTGTTTAATGCCAACCAGCATAGGCCTTCTTGAAACCTTACTGCTTCTCCAACTAACTGGGCTCACTTTGTGTGTGCGTGTAAAACATCGACACAAATGCTCATTGGTTTAAAATTAAGCAAGACCACGGTTGTGGTACGCCTGCCTACGCAATAAACTTTGAAGGCGTATAGCATGAATCCCAGCTCTGACAACAGTCAAGACTAGTTGGTCTTTTTGATTTCCTTCGATTTTTACTTTAGAATTTCGCCTTTTATTGGAAATGAAATTGCAAAACGCAGAGGAGGGAGGTTGAATACAAGTGAAGTAAGAAGGACTGCCTATTTTTCCGATCCTAAGAGATGGAGCCTTCGTTCATAGTGAAATGTCGGCACCTTCGTGCGAAGCTTGGAAGGATCGCTATTACTGTAAAATGAAATAATGAACGATGTATTGAGGAAAAGAGGCGTACTGATATTTCCTTACCTTTGGGGGTATCTTGTGTATTGAGAAATTTTAAGGCCATCGTAACCCTTCAGCTTTCACTGACCAAAGAACTTGGCTTCCAGAACTAGTGCAGTCTCCTCAACTTTGAAGGTCGAATTACGCTACGTCGAATAAAGTGATGGTGACTGGTCCCTTTCAGTTGGATCAGCGGATGTAATAAATTTAGTTAATTTGCTACCTTACCTAATTGGTACGACCTTCCCTGAAATAATTGTCTCTACGTCTTTGAAAGTCACGGAGCTCTATCAAGTGCTTTTACTACAGCTGCTTTTTCAACCATCTCATTAAGTCATTAAATCATTAAATCAAATTTTGTCGGCTTTTACTAACAACACAAAACTTTAGAGTTCCGCGTAAGTGCGCAGTCAAAACTACTTTCCGAAGTCCCAGTTTCAAAAGTATGTGAAGGACTTAGGTCTTACTAAATGGGCTGACGTGTCTACGGCACAGTTAACCCAATGAGGGCCGAAGGGTCAGTTGTGGACGGAAACGTACACTAGCCACGAGGGCTTCCCAATGCTTACGTGATGGAGCGAGACATCCCGAATATCAACTGCAATACCAGCTGAATACCTATGATAATGCAAGGTTTCGGATTAATGAGGGCTTAAACTGGTTGAAACAAGAAGATTCTTAAATAGATGGCCATAAATGGCGATGCTTTGACGATCTACCTTCAACGCTAGAAGTGGAAATGGTTAGATTTGGTTTTGAGCTTCAAAGACAAGTGTAGTTTTTGCATACCTAAATTTCCAACTTTTGGACATTTTGAAAAGGAAAATAAACAGCGCACGACTCCGCCTATGGCGGAGGTATCAGTTCCAAAGTGCTACAACACATTCCTGCTTACAAGGAGCATTTGGAATCAGTTGCATTAAATCATCGCAGAAATCGAGACACAAAACTTCAATATCGCAGAGACAACGATAATAAACAGGGTGTAAGGGACACCCGTAAGTTCAATGACTCCTGTGATCAGCATCAGCAGTCGGAAGATGAACGCGACACTAGCTGAATCAGAGATGGGTGGGTAAAAAGCTGTAAGCTCCAAAGCTGTCCACCCCTTTTGAGGAAAAATGCAGTCAGATTTTCTGTGAGACAGACAAGTAACACGTCGTCTAGGTTAATGCCCCATTACGACAAATGAAACTGTGCACCCAAAACTGGTAAATCGACAAACCCGAAGAGCGCATCCCAAAGACCACGCTATAGGATTACATAACAGTGCACTACAGTGAAATTCCCACCTCAATATTGGCAGACGAACTGCAATGTTTAATCCTCCCAAATTCCCCACATAAACTAGTGGAAGGCGATGTATTGAATGAGAATTTCGTTTGGTCTGAGCGCGAGAGGATACGACATTGAATATACAAGTTGTCGTTTACAGCAGTGCATATGTTACACACTACGAAAGTAAAAGAGGATCACGAAAGACTAGATCACAGACAGATCGCAATGCGTGTAAGTGCGCACTCGTTCTCAACGGATAGCCTGGAGGCGAGCACGCATCTCCTCGAGGTCATCCAGGGTGTCATCAGCAACCTCGGAAGGCCGCTGAGCACCAGCTGGCAGGGTGTCAGTCACGGCATCCGGCGCTTTACCCATTGCACCGTTGGTCAGCTCGAAGAGGATCTTGTCCACCTCAGCTTGTGCCATCTCTTCCAACTCCTCAGGCTGATCCAAAGCTGAATCTATCGACTCTTCCATCATCTCATTCATCAAACCTAACTTCATCATCTCTTTCGACATGTTACACATCGTCGTGCGGAGCTCAGGAAGCTGAAAACAAAATCAGTTGCGACTGCTTACTGTGATGTCTTCAAGCATATTTACGAAATTCAAATGGATTTAGAACGAATGCTACTACTAATGCGTGAGTGCAGAAAGGCAGAGCCACCAGTAGCTATTAGAATAAAGAAAATCATACGGAGACTGCATAATCTCGAAAGGATAGTTCAATTTCAACATTAGTAGGAGAATAAAAGGCTTTGTAGGAGCGCCAAATGCGGCAAAATTTCAACAACGATAACAGAAAACACAACAAAGTACTCGACCATAAAAAGTACAAACTTATGCAGTATCACCGCATAGCAAACATGGTCTGAGATAGAGGACTAGTTTAATATCAATGCTGAACAAGTCTCTAAAAATTTTCGCTAAACAAACAATCATGATAGGTTTACCTTAACCAGTTTTGACATAGCTTGCATCACAGAAGTACTCTGACTGAGAGCACTAGCCATCTTTGCCATTGCGACTTGATTTTCCAGCTCCATTATGACAGAGTTTATCTGTGCCTTAGCTTGATAGAGCCTGTTGACAGACTTGCGGGAAGCTACAATCTCTTTCGCAAGAATCTTAGCTGCATCAATATTTCCGGACTTGGCGTACTTCTTAACCTCAACTTCGCACTGTTTTGACTTCTGCTGAATGGATACGATGTCGCGATCCAGCTTCCTTTGTTCACGCCGTAACCGAGTCTGAAGATCACGAACTTTTGGACGGAGATCTTTCTCCTTGTGGAAGAGGTTCATTCTGTAGCAGAAAAATGACATGAAGTAATCAGAGGAACAAAGCAATTGCAAGCAGAACGACTATCAAGCCAGAAAACATATTTAAACGATATAAAAAGGCAGATTACTTATTCCACCTTGAGGAAATAAAGATACTCTTAAAAGCTGCATAAGTAATTTGCCTCTGCTATAACGCATATGGAGGTAGCGAAATGCAAGCAGTTGCGATGAAACACCAGATACACAAAAGCTTAATACTCTCAATGCAATACGAGTTTACTGACGTTGCGCTGAACAGAATGGCAATGAGACCTGTGCATAATGCAACACGGCCACGAAACAGAGGGGTTCCCAAGAAACCAATCGAATTAATATGCTCATTTCCTAATTGGAGTACTAGAAAATAACTTATAAGAAATCCATCAAAAATAATGAACTGAAAATTTCCCTATTTTTCGCAAAACATACATTAAGCACAAGTACTGTGTAATTACAAAACAATGACCAAACAACCCCACAAGCTAACGCCAAAAATAACCGTCGCCGCATCCCGCACATCAACGGAAACTCACTTTTGATTTAAGTGCGCCGAAGACATGCACCAATCAATTGCTTGTCTTTAATTTTCACATTCAAGCAAGAGTTAGTAATAAAGAGAAACCAAAAAGTTAAAAGCCAGAAGGCTATCAGAGGCAAAAAACGATGAAACAAGAAATTCATGTATTTGAAATAATTCCAGGAGTGCATATACCTTTAAAGTGTTGGAAGGCAATTGCTTATGAAAAATCTTGCTAAGTGAAGAAGGCATTAACAATATTTTTATAGGACAAAATAAATATTTCGAAGGAAAATAGTCGCGTGTGGGACATAAATGCTGATTCCAAGTAATCCTTGCAGGAGAGAGGTGGGATTGAATACGGATCCAAGTTTGGAAAGATTGCCGTGTCCTCCGGACTAATATCAGGAACTTCCATAATGATACGACCGAACTTTCATTCACGCTGAACTAAACGCCTGGTAACCTTTCCAGAGCTAACTGAATTTTCCGGAAGGCAAATTAAAAGACTTTGACTGTAGAAACTGCCTCTACACCCTCAGGGCTCTATGCAAGGTCCCGAGACTTCCCACTGTATAGAAGAAGGCAGTAAATGAAGCTTGATACATGCATTCCAAAGAGGATAAAGTGACTAGGCCTGAGCATGGCCTGAAGGCCAGTCTACACGTGCAAGTGTTAGACGAATCTAAAGGTGACCCCAAACGTCAGGTAGTCACATAAACAAAGCATCAAATTGCTCCTCTCTTCTCTTGAGCGACGTCCGCGGTGCTCCCCTTGGTACACCTCTTGTGCCAGCCATGACAACATATTCGACATTACAAAAAGCACTCACGAGCCAACCGCGTCTGTCGACAGCTACCACGAAACTGAGAAACCATATTTGGCTTCATCGGTAGCTTCAGCTGGTTCTGCGGTTACGTTCGGTCTGACAAAATGGTTCGAGACCGCATACATCTATCGGTTATCAATTGCTCCCAGGACTAGACCTTGGAACTCTGGTCTAAAGCAGATGTATTACAGGAAAAATATAATGAGCCACTGTCCCATGTATAAGGGAGCACCTATACACGGATTTTGTAAGGAAAGTTCAGACATGATAATACCCTAGATGATTTATGGCGGTCTCGATTCAGATGTTAACAGCTTGTCTGTGGAACGCGAGAATAAAGTGGAGACAAACGCAAATATCAGTCTCGACCTTCTTGTTGTGAAGGCTTCAGAGATTCGTTAGCCACACAGGTAAATGCGCCCTTCCAAAGCGTTGATACTTGCAACGAACGGAACGTGCAAGGGTAGAAGTAGTTAATGATGTCGGGCTTGCTTTCCGCTGCCAACAATATGGCGTTCCGAGACTTCCCACCAGGTGTAAGAAGGCAGTAAGTGAAGCTGAACGCATGCATCCCAAGGAGGACAAAGTAACTAGGCCTAAGAATAGCCCTAAGGCCAGCCCACAAATACAAGGGTAAGACTGCCTAACGTCAGGTAGTCACATAAACAACGCATAAGTTACAGGACGAAAGGAAATGGAAGGAGTATTTATAAGACGGAAAGCTGAAGTCAAACAAGTACATCCCTTTTAGCCCATTCGAACTTAATTTATGTTCGAATCACTTTTTTGTTTCCCTTCTGTAAAGGCAAGCATAAACACAAATTGCATATATTACAAAGAATCTGGTGCTGGGATGCAGCATAATGCGCCACTACAATCGCATTGATAGGGCTGCAGGAAAGTGAAGGACCGAACTAATCAAATTTTAATACCATATATTTTGTCGATCGTGATTCCGGTAATATTTTTTTTTCGAATCTCCACGCAACAAATTGTTCTAAAACCACTAAATATTATAGTAAAATACCAAATTTTTACAATAAGTAAAAATGCTAAACGTCAGAAGTTTAATTTAGAAATTTATATAATTGCATAAAAATTAAATTCCATGAATTCTAAAATTGAACCTCTATTTAGCAATTAAATAATCCACTGACTTGGCGCTGGATTTGCGTTCTACACCACAGGGTCAGGGACGTATGACGGAGGAGGGCCTTTTCCGACTACCCTTTGACAGTCTGTCCAGTCTACTGCCTTATACTGACAAAAAAGCGTTAAAATATGCTTTTTACAATGCAGCTGTCATTGTTTGTCTTGTGATTGTCGTGGCTTTATGCGTGGCTATTTGTCTAGTATTGCAACTTTTTCTTCGCCCGATTTGTTGGGCTCTGATTGTTGGAACATGTCTGTTCCCCTGTAAGCTCATGCTAACGACGTATTTGCGCCAACATTTACAACAGCAAAAGGAAAGAGGTTGTCTCTTTTTGTTGGCGGTGGCGTTGACGCCTGTCAAACTATTTCAATCCACAATGTCTGCTTTTCTTGACGCACTACTGTCAAAAGCTATCCCCCTTTCCATAGCACTCCTCTTAACTGGAGCTTTTTTGTTTATGCAGGAGTCTGGTTTTTTTATATCTGTGGGGCTTTCGCTGTTTTACATTCACCACGTTCTTTTCAATTTCTTCAACTTTGTTTCCCATATTTTTTCCCCTCGTTTAGTTGTAGTTTTCACTTTTCTTCATTTTCTCATAACTCACGTCAAGTGTATCCAAATTCCTCATTTACAAGCAAAATTGCTTTCGTTGTTTACTCGTTTTTCCATCTTCATTGCTCTTACTTCATTCTTTGGCGTATTGCAACCAATTTTTATGATGGGAGCAATTGCTCTTGCAGTTTGGAGCCATATATCTCCAGGAGCAGGTAGTCAATTCAAAAGTCTGCTTATGTTTACGAATTCATCACATCTGAGCGTATTGGTATTATCCTTTTTGGTTCTTAGAATCATCACACGATTTGAACTCTGGAAACGGCACTCCTAGTTGTGAGAGCGAAGAGGATTACTGTAGGGCGCAAACGTAAGTGCAGTCGGCTATGACAATAACCGAGATCCCATTACAGTGCTTTTCCTGGTATGGCTCACAACTGCTAGTGATTTGGAGCCGTGAATGTTTCTGGTCATTGATGACTTCCCGAGTAATCAAAATTTTTTTGTTAACTCTTGTGAATACCGTAATGTAAGTGGAGGGTTCGATATTTGAAGTCTTTGAAAACTAAACTGAACTGTGGCTTCTGTGAGGATTTGGTTTATTTCCAGTATTTTGAACTTTTATTGCTCCTTGATTGATTTTCCGTCATCTCTTCCAATTTGAAAGGTTAGTAAGTCGTAATTAGTATTCTCCGCTACGTAACTGCATTTCTTGTTTTGCCATTATAATTACAGTATAGAACACCTTGCTTACAATACAGAGTAAGGCTAGTTGAACAAACTCAATGATGTGGGTTGTAGCTCTGTGACTTGAGTGACACGTTCGGTCAGAGCTGCTGCCGGGTAAGGCGATCAGAATGGTTTTCATAAAAAACCTTGGAAAATACCAGCACAATCTTCCTTTTATTGGTTCGAATTGGGTCAGATTTATTTGTAATTAAGGTTAATAAGGCTCTCCTTGTCCAAAGGTTATACCAGCTCTCACACCAACTGGCATTCAGGAGATCTTGATTCTTCCAATGCAACTAAGGGTCTTTTATGCAGGTGGATTCGATTAAGCTGTAACTAGTATCTCCACGGTTCATAGAAGTTGTAATTGTTGGATCCCTCATCGCCAAAATCACGATTTTCCAACGAAGGTTACGCTGCCTTGGGCGGCGAAATTATTGTACCACTGATGCGAAATTCTTACGCGAAGCAGCAACAACGTTGGTAATGATTAAGGTATGGTTGATGGTGAGATGACTTTTTGGACACTTCCTTCGGGATCTGAGTTCGGCCTCTAATGGCCCTTGGATAAGGGATTGAGGGTATGGGTGCTATGACGGTTTGTTCTTTCTCTATAATCTGAACCTCATTATCCACTTGACAATACTTTCGCTTGCGAATGGAAGTAACTTAGAAATATTTGGTCAATTCTATAATGACCAGTGAGTTTACAGAAACAAATATTCTCCTCCAATGCAAATGACATTTTTATGCGGTGAAACATAAATTTTGGGAAATAAGTTGCGCGTTAAGATATGGTAGGTGTCAAAACTGCAGACTAAAGAGCTAAGTAATTAGCTGGGTTTGACTGGTAGTTGTCGTTATTCCATTCAAAGAATGGAATCTGTGCTTGCAAGTTGGTTGTCGAATGCTTTGGGTGGTAGCGAGCAGTTTAATTCGTCATTTGTTTTTTCGACTCCTTCGGTTCCATTTAGCATTGGTGGTCCTTGGAGATGGGCATTACCTCTATTTCGGCATCGTAAGTACCGATTAGAACTTAGAACTCAGAAATTATCACCTTCTTCGGTTAGCTAGCGCCACATTAACATGAAACATGACTGCTACGCATTATTGGCGCGGAGACGCTTGAGTTCGGTTGGTGCTTTGTTTAACTGCGTGATGTTTTTTGTTGGCTCTCATTAATTAGTTTTGTGTGCGTGTCTAGTGGATGTTTCGACACTAAAAATGTGTTGAGAAGGCACATTGCCGGCCGGTTGTTCTGGAATCATACTACTCTGCTGTAACATACCTTCAGGTTTTGATCAGTCGAGAGCTGAACGATGTTCTTGTGCTGTTCATCACATTCGCATGCGGTGATTTCATTTTATTGCCAAGCTTCCATCTAAAAACCTCCAATTAATTTGTGCGGTTGTAATTAACTGAGTTCACACGTGTATGGAATTGCGATGAGCTCTCAAGAGCAAACCCAGAATACAGTATCAGAAAATCATTACAAACGCAGCCGTGGCGGGCATGAATTATAGTTTTATCATAAAAAATGCGTATTTTAAGGCATGCTATGAGAACTGAATGCGTATTTATTCTAGCTATGATTTCGGGCGCAAGTTGGTACGCAAAGTCATACATTCTAAATCGCAAGCATAGTACATTAGCTTATAGCACAAAGTGGAACTTACACCTCTGCATCCTTTGAAAAGTTTGCTACTCAGTCGCGAATGGCCACCAGCGCTAGAATGATCTGGAAACGCTTTGCGATTCTATAATTAGCTTTTTAGCCTTTGGTGGATGTTTGTCTCGCATGCATCAACTCAAACTATACTGAGTGCCTATCTCCTGGTTATCATCGTTCTCCAGGCAAGCTGATTGAAAGCATCTACTAAAAATTATTCCTCAGATCCAACATTGAGGTGGGTATTTATCTTATGGGGCACTAGTCCTCCATTTGTCGTGACTGGAAGTGGATGAGTTGCTAACATCGCTGTTCAAATGGCCCTGGTCCTCATAGAATTCCTACTGAATTAAGGGAGGTCACGCTTTTTTTAATGTAGCACAACAGCGAGGACTTTGCTGCGTCGGCTTTCATTGCTGCCAGAGACTGATTCAGGAGGTCCTCATTTGCCATCATTGTCATCATCGCAAAATTCGCCGACGGAAGGGGCGGGTCTCGCCTCCACGACAATTGGCGGATCATCGGACACTTCTAGTGCTCTTGTGCATGCTTGCTTTACGGGTTTGGGTTTGGTGCACTTCGCAGTGGCCTTTTGGACGCGTGCCTGGCTTTTCCGTCTTGTTCTCCTCTTTGCTTCTGTTGGCCTTTTGGTCTATGCTGTCGCCAGTCTTCAACTCGTGTCAGGTGCCCTCTGGCTCCTACGGCAGGTTTGGATCTCCCTCACCACCGCCCTCCGTAGTTCCGACTTCTTCACCACAATCGAGAACGGAGAGTATTCTCTCCTCCTAATTCCTCCCTCTCTCAGGTTGTCACTGCGATGGGCGCGCAAAATCGAGCGTTATGTGAGTACCTTCGTGCTTTTATGGGTTAATCTGTGAGAGTGCTTGCCTTATCAAGGGAACTTTCTGTTTTAGCTGTACGACTTCATCGATGAATACTTGGATTATTTGGTCAGTTTTGTTATAATAAGCCTGATGGTTCTTATCAGCCTTCTCTTCGCCGTCTTCCTCGTGGTTCAGGTGAGTGTCCTCCCTCCCATTCTGAATAGCTCCATTCATTAGCTTTAAAGAATAACAACCGAATGTCACAACCATTGGTTTAATTTGTTTACTCCACTTTGTATTTGCAACTTCTGGATTGTTAAGTAATTTTTTTTCTGGGCATTTCATTTCTGGCTTTCCAAATAATGCATAGTTGTAAGTGCTTTGAAAAGAAGACGTGTGAAAAACTAGTGACCGTTTCAGCTTTGTAAAGCACCTAATTCAGTTGAGCTGACAGTTACTGATGTGCTTATAAATAAATGCTGGACTCATTTGATTGGTGGAAAAGTGGTTTGTTTTTGCAAAAATATTATTTTAGAACCCTTGAATAGTTTGCACAACATTCCTCTGAAGTTTAACTTGTAATGAATCATGCCATTCTC